GCATAAGTATTTATTTTCATAATCTTACTATTCTATTTTCCCGAAAGAAAGGGGAAATAGATATTTTCAATCTTAACATTAATTAAATTTTTAATTTTGTTTTTAAATTCAAATTTTACTTTCAAAATATTCTTTAGAATGAAATGTTTAACAGGAAAATGGTTTCTGACTATGTGCAAACTATAAGTAACTTAAAAATATTTAATTATTATCATTGACATGTTTAATAATATGTTAACTTGTGGACATTTTAACAAACGCGAGTGAAATGAAATTTATACTGAAGATTTTGTTATGTAAACAAATTTGTTTGATTCATCATATTTATTACAATTTTTAGAAAGACAATTATTACTCAGTATGCGTGATGAATGGTCAAGTACAAGTTCGATTGAATGGTGGAAAAGGAGAGCTCGTCTTGCAATCAAATGATACTTTCAATGATGGAAGATATCACTCGGTAACTATTATTAAAAGAAGAAAGGATGTTGAATTAAGAATTGACGATGCTTACCAAACCACTGGGAGATTACCAACGAGCGCCGCAATTAAAGCTCCCGAAGGTGGTGGTGGATTATTTTTCGGAGGTTTACCAGTACTCATTAACAATACCAAAATGATTGCAACGAACATTCCTTTATATGGTGCAATTAAAGATGCAATATTTAATGATGAGTAAGTTAAACAATCCTGTTTAAATCTGTTACGATTTACAAGCAGTCAGTCATCAAGTTTATTGAAGAATATTTTTTTATCGAGAATTATCCATATTAGTAAAAACAATGTTCAGAATAGGAGATAGAAAACATATCTAATTCCTCTTGTAAAAATTATTATAGTCCAACAACTTCAAACAGTAAAATTATTTACTTTTAGTTTACTTTACACGAACATTGCACTTATAAAAAAAATAAAATTTTAATGTTTCACGTAGAAAAAAACGCGTTGTATTTTTTGTTTATTCATTCTCTAGTGTAGGTTTTATTCGATTAAATCTATTATTGCTATTCTATTCGTAACTTATAAAATATATTGAAGAATCTGATTTGACGAATAAATCATTTTCATATGATTTAATTGTTTCGCATATGAATGTAAAGTGACAAATGAAAGTTTCATTCGTACGTAATCAAAAGAACTTCGAATGTTGCGTTTCAAGAATCATCAATTTCTTTGTAGAATCATTCGATTTGATGAAGTTGCTAATTTTGAGCACGCTCTCATTGGTCGTTCTGGGCCAAGCATGGGAAAAGAATCTCCTATTTATACACCATCAGCGTCGCTGTCAAGAGGAATGTCTACTCAGCCGGAGGGATGTCAGAAAGTCCCATACTACTCGTTGGAACCTGGTGCTCTAAAGTTTGGAGACAAAGCAAACAGCCACACTCAGCTCTATCTAAATTTTAAGAAATTTTGGGAAAAAAAGTATGCAATAGAATTTGATTTTAGGACGTATTATCCAAATGGACTGCTATTTATTACTCCGGTACGTAAAGAAATTTTATTACTATCTTGATTCTTTTACAATTTTTCGTAAAGGAGAATCGTGCAAGCTAATAATAATGTAGTAAAAACGAATGACAAATGTACGAAAAATACTATTATATCAGATTTCCTTCTTGAGAAATCGACTTTGAAAGTTTATCTTGTACGTATGCATTTTTTATTATAGTATGTAAAACAGTAAGCAATACACAGACGCGAAAATAAAATCTCATTCAATATTCATATTTGATAAATTTTTATAGTCGACTTCGGAAAATAGCAAACATTTAGATTGAAATTATTGTATTTTAATTTTTGCGATTTAATTAAAAAAAAAATTATCTATGTTTAGTTATATTTATAAAATTGTATCTATGATTTCATTGAAGTCCGACGAAATAATTCACATTTAAAAATGCATAAGTAATATGAATCATGTTTTTTACTTTCCATCTATATACATACATTTGCTTTGTTTAAGTAATATTACATAACTATTTGATACTCAAAGAAATCTTACTATTTCCCATTTTAAATTGAAAATTCAAAGAAAATGAAAGTGTGTTGAATTTATTCTAGATTGTCATTTTCTTAACAATAGGTATAGATTGATTTTTAAAGTTTCCCTTTAAATAGAAACTTAAATCATCACTGTGCAATGTATTTTTCTTCATTATTATAGATGTACCTTTAATCTAAATTATATGTAAAATGTCTAAAATAGTATAACATTGAAGTAATGTTTATTATAATTGCAAGGTTTGCATGGCCAAAAGAATTTTTGTTATTTCGTGATGCTACACTCAATAATAAGGGAATTGACTTTAAATATGAAATGTTAAGAGCCAATGGGCAACTCATTTTATAGTATCAAATTCTATCTATTTTACAGGGACTTAGACCAAAAAATTATCTAATGATCGTAATACGAGATGGTCAGCTTTTACTCCTAGTAAAAAGTAAGCAGAAGAGAGAAATACTGTTCAAAACACCGTTCAATGATGGTAATTGGCATCACGTCGTAATTAGCCATGACGAAAGGAAACTAACGTTGCTCGTTGACACGCAAACGCCACGCAGAATCAAAGTCCCAAGGAAGATTGGTTTGGCTTCTATGATGTATATCGGAGGACTTCCCGAAAGTGGGACACCAATACCCGAACAAGTTGTAGTTAAACTTGAGACACTGAAAGGGTGCATCAGAGGCTTACGAGTAAATGGAAACGTGTACGATATGGTTGGTTCAACGAGCAGAGCATACCATGTTGGCCAATGTTTCCCAAACGTTGAAAGTGGAGCCTATTTCCAAGATGAAGCATATGCAATATATAGTAAGTACTATTTAGATATAAATTGAAAATGGCGAAAGTTGACTAAGAGAATGTGAGGTACATTTAGAATGATGAAAGTTCGCTAGACGATCTTAATGTTTATAGGAGGAGTTAACGGTCAATCGATGAAGTACTTGACATTGAACTTTTTTGAGTATCTTGTTCAGTAAAAAATAAATCTCCTAAAAATTAAATGTGCTACAAATATATCTTTCAAAATGTGTATGATAAAATTCATTTACTACTGATTTAAAAAATGAAGATTAGATGTAGATAGGTAGGAAATCAGGTAAACGCAATATCGCTTCTCATTTGTTGTTTGTGAAAGAAATACAATTAATTATTGTGGTATTCTTATATAGACTTTATAAAATATGTTTTATAGAAAACACGTATGTCTTATTTTTGTGCTTAAAGATGTATTCCAAGGATAATTCATACCTTAAACGTACCATAATAAAAATATTGAGCAACTTTAGCACAGATTTTATTTTCCTCTCGATGTAAGAAAATCATTCTCAACTTTAACAATATTATAGATAAAATGGTATATACAAAAATTTGCATACACATTTTCGATATGTTTGTTGTGCTGTTATAATAAAAAGAATTGAATACAAAGTATTTAATTTACAATATTAGGAGATGTATATTGAAAATATTATATTTTTCAGAAAGAAATTTCGAGTTAGGTGCTGTGCTAGAATTGCAGTTGGAATTTAGAACATCAGAATTATCTGGTGTTTTACTTTCCATAACAGCACCTGGCAATTCGCCCTCGCTGTCACTGGAACTGAATAATGGCAAAGTGATCATGTCGGGTGATCTAGGAGACAATAAACCGTTGTATGTAGAGCAGCCTTTTGCCAATCCATATACAATTTGTGACAACCGATGGCACAGAATACAAGCAGTTTATAATGACGAGGAGTTGGCATTAAAAGTCGACGAGATGGATCATAAATATGGTCTTCCAGCTAATGTCAATTACCATATAATGGACTCTACTGTCCCTGGGCCTCTGTATATTGGTGGCTTGCCAGGTAAAATTTAGTGATACTTATTTCATATTATCTATCTATGGTGTAATATTATTATATCCGTGAAAAAATTCTGTTATATTTTTATCGATATACATTTGAAAAACAAAAAAAGAGAACTTTTATACAAAGGATGTTATCAATCTGCTTAAAATTTAAATTAAATTACTAAATATGAGAAAACGTTGCTTAATATGTTTACAAGACTTCTAAAAAACCTATTTTTAGGTGTATGTGACATCCTTACAATTACTAAAATCTTATTAGTCTCATTACAATTATCACGTTGAACGCCGTACGATTTCACGACGCAAAATAGCCAAAATGAAAAAAGTATAATATGAATTGCCTTGGGTCACTATTATTGCATGTTAGAGGCTTATTATATTTTATGTATATTCCAAAAAAAAGGAAAAGATCAATAAAAATTAAATCTAAATTGCTTGCTTTGAAAAGAATGAAAAAATATTTTATAATTACATGTTATGATTGTGTTATAGCTTCTGCTCCAAAAGGTACATTAATAACACGGGATCACTTCAACGGATGCATAAGAAATGTAATGATAGGTGGCGAGAGACGCGATTGGACAGACATGGACGAGCTGCATAATATTCACTTGAGTTCCTGCCCTGTACAATGATGATCAGTACAACATGCCAAGTCCTTCAAGTTATTCACTTTAGTTCCAAAGACTGTTCGAAATACGCACAAAGCTTAAAATGTTACTGTGAACTCTATTTAATGCAATCGCACACTGGGATCAAGTGCCATATCATGATGGAAAAACTGTAATTGTTAAGATGTAAGACTAAACCAAGCCAAAAGATGCTAACTTACGAACATAGAAAGTTTACATCTGTGTTTCTCAAACTTGTTTTCTTATAGTGATGCATATCTGCAAAATATTGCATGATGATCGCATACGTCATACATTTACTAGAAACTTATGAATTTCATTTGGACCACATGAGTTTTATAATTGTTTTGTAACAAATTAACAAAAATCTATTTAAATTGTATAAATAATAAAAAAATAATAACTTAGATATTTATTTTAATAATCATAAATATATTCGTTGTTCTTGTATTCTATTAACTGTTGCTACTAATGCAATTTAACTAACATTCATTTATTATCAGCCAGGTTTCATAGCAAGCGCAGCAATCATATATAGATGGACATTCAAAACTTACGCAAAATACACGAAGTTAAAGCATTTCGTTATTCTTCACATTGTCATTCCAATAGGTATCTTAATACATAATACTGACACTCAATAACAAATATTCTTGAGATTTCGCATTCTAAAGATATGCCAATAAATCTCACGATTAAATAATACAGTACAAAGGTAAAGTGCAGAATCAAAAAAAGTAATTTATAACATTACAAAAGTCAAACAGCGATACAAAAAATATTGCATACTAATTATGAAATGCATATGTAATAAGTGGTAAAAATAAAAGCTATTATTCATTTCTATAGTAATTTGAATAGAAGGTATCTTCTAAACAATGATTTAAAAAAACAAAAAAACAGTTTGAGAAACGACTTTTAGATCGTTGACAAATTATGGCACAAATTCACGTCGAATTATATATCGTAAACCGAATGTAAAATAAATGTTACGACATACATGTAAGTAGCATGATCACTGCCATATAGTTTAATTATAATACACTTGTAAGTCACAAAACAATTGTACATCAGTATTTAAAGTTATTTATTACT